AATAGAAATTTCTCTAGTAAGTTCAGATGACTTTCGTCGATTAAATACGAAGCTAGGTAGGAAACGTTGATATCATTTTTCGAAAGTAGACACAGTCAGGGGGTTGGAGTTGAGGGGCGAGTTGGACTATTACCGTGACCCGCCAAAATCCGCGGCGTAAATCACGACGAAGTTAGACGTACGACCGCGAGTAAAAGAAGCCTTTCCCCCGTTTATGGCTAGGGTTATTCGTCGAACGCGACTGCCCCGGAGGGTACGGACGCTCTCGTTTCCCCACTGTTTTAATGTCCTATCGATCTGGACCACCGCCGGCACCTGCCTCACACCCGCGGTATTACTATTGCCGAAGTATAAATTTTCCGGGTGTCTCCGTTAACCTCGAGGAACACGCGAAAATTTCTCCACTTCGACCACCTCTCTTTCCCCCCCATAGCCTGAAACCACGGGGCTGGTATCCCATCCGCCACTATATCCTTCGTCCGCCGGATACACGTACCTAAATCGCGGATTCTGATCATCGGGCGTCCAACATCCCTTCTGCCTCCACTCTAAAGATCTACGAGGAAATGCGAATTCTCCGGATTCTCATTCTCTCTGGAACTTTGACTACCTATTATGCCTGCCCGATGCGTTTAACGAGCACTCAAGTGTGTAAAACGCGTCCAGTATCGAACAGAATGCTTTCTAGTACTCGATAAATATCTTTTGACGATTGCAAGATACGAAGTACTAAACATTCTTACAATTTTCCATTTATAAAATGAACGACACGATGATTGATACAGTAACAGTGACGTAGTTACTGTGTAGCAAGGATTAGACTAAGTTAGGCTAGTTTCAATTTGACTCTTCAGGGCTCAAGCAAAATCGAGTAGAATGATTTCTACCATGTTTCGGCATTGATTTGGGACCAGTTTTGGGACCGGTTTGAGGTTTCGACTACGTTTTAGAATTGATTTAAGACCAGTTTTGGGTCTGTTTTGAGGTTTAAGACTGTGACCACGTTTTGGGATTAGAACGCTTGACCCCTAAGCCGATTCTAAACTTCGGTCGATAACCATCACCTATCCTAGCCCCCGGTTCGCTTAACCCTTGGACGAGCAACAACGGCTGTGGAGGAAGGTTCACCTACGCAATCCCCTTCCACGAGTAGATCGTTTATATGACGCGGCGCGCCGCGTCGACTGACCTCGTCGCCTAGACCCGGCTGTCTAAGTACACGTCAAATCGAATTTCTTGCACAACCGGGGATCGCCTATAGATAGGTCGCGATTCTCGACCGAGCGACACCCAACTGCTTTACACGCATTACTAAGTCATAGACGCTGCGACGGCACGCGGCTTCGGATTACGTGGCTCCAACGAAATGCCTTGTTCGCTGCGAGACGTGGCCGTCCGGTCGCCACCCGGGCTTCTACCTTTCTTCCTCCTTTTTTTCTTTCTCTTCACTGATACTGTTCCGTCGCTTATCGATTGAGACCGGCCGCGTTTCGAGACCCGGCGGTTATCGATTCGATATTTTATGGGAATATTATGTCGACGGAATTTTGGAATCAACAGCCACGTGGAAATTAAGAATATGAAATGAACCTTTTTGCCCCGTTGAATTTTATCCCAGGTATCCCGGGGAATTTTATGAAAGAGCTTTTTCATATTCCGATTTCTTGATTTATCGATTCCCCGCCAGGTCATCATTTCGAGCTAGTCAATTTTCTACTGATTCAGAGCCAAAAGTAATTTTTTGTATACATAAAAAAACCGGGTTTGAGTATCACTCAATATTTTCATTTTTATTGTACTATACAGAAGCTGGTATTTAATACTAAAGTAAACTTAAAGACTAAATGAGACGATAAGAAATTAAGCAAAAAGAAAAACAGCGCTTCGAGGAACGAAACAGAAGAAAGGCGAGAGAAAATAAGAAAACTTTAATTTAAACATTCATGTGAGAGACTTGCAAATATCGTACATGTCGTAATTTATTTACTTTATTCGTGAAACGAAATTACAGACACGTAATTGAACAAACAATTAATATTGAACTGAATAATGTCACCGATTTACGGGACGTCGTTAAATAAGTTCTCGGTGGGAATTTTTTCGTGCCACGTTATTCCAGCTAGTTCGAACTTTTACAGCGTCGTCGACGGCGGATCGATAAATTGAACGTTATTACTTTTTGCGCCGCGAGGCACGTCGCTACGTTAATAATAATTCTAACGACAACGATTAATGACGCGTAATTAAAGTCTAACGTAGACCGCTCGGTTACGTTTCCATTATATCAATTACGGCAACGTATACATTTTACCCATTCATTTCAGAAATTAACGTATCGTGAATTAACGAGTTCTATGGAATCAGAATGCTCGTTTTGTGTTTTACCGTGTCAGGCTGAAGGACGTATAATAAGATTTTCAACGTTTCCTCAATCAACGAGTTCGAATAAGAACCTTTTATCGTATCTTAAATAATATTCTTCAAATTGATATTATTTCAATATTAAAATAAACAAGATACATATTAATAATTTAAAACATGTAATAACGATTGTAAAAAATTACAAAATTCTCTTATGATTAATTCTCTATTATATCTGTTCCTAAGTGAAATCTAAATCTTCCTAGGCTTGTGAACATAAGAATTAGACTTTTTAATAGCTATGGGGAATTACTAATATTATTTACGAGACGACTTAAAGCATGTATGAACTGGAATAAAACGCAGCAGTAGCTTCGTATCGGGAATGGAAGTTCGAATCGGAAATACTTTATCCGGTGTTGCATCAACGATGCCGCTAGATAAGAAGTGCAAAGAAGAGTAGAAAGGTCTGGTTGAAGACGACGGCGATGGGTATGACGGTTATGATGCTAAGTTCCTCCGGTAGACTCGGGGAAAGGAAAAGTCAGTCGCCTAGGGAGGAAGAGGGTAGCTATGGAAGGTAACGGCTGGGGAAACGAGGCAAACGGCAGAGCCCGAGAGTCCTCGAAATGGCGCAAATGGCGGTACGAGAGGGACCAGAATGCCGTCGGACGGGTTGGGTTAGGTTAGGTAAAGGGAAACACCAAACGCCACCGTCCCTACTCGCACGTATCTACATACAGTAGAGCTCGAAGAGGTTTTCGATCCTTTTCGGCGAGACTCCTAGCGACGAAGGAATATTTCCAGTTTATAGTTTCCTGTTCCCCCTTTTTTCGCCCCGAATGCTACCGTCGTGTCACGGACGCCATTGTTTAGAATCAAACCGTAGAGCTGTTTCATGCAATTATGTGAAAATTCAATGTGCAGAAGCGATGAATGTCGCATATCAAATTTGTAACTTTAGTATGACGCCAGTTTTATAAAAGAACAATTAAATGTGAGTTTATAAAGGATTAAATGTAGGTAAATATGAATAAATAAATAAAGATGTGCTTTAAACTCTGAAGACTTAAAATGATAGAAAAATAAACTAGTGGATAAAAATCGTAAAATTCACTATACTCTTATCACAAAACTATTGCAATTTGCATCGTACATTCAAATCATAGTAACAGAGGAAAGAACTACCGCGTAACAACATCTGTACGAGTTTGGAAGTAATATGGATTTATATACGTATCAATAGATTGTCACTGACCATTTCTATCCATTGGGCGTGTATATAAGAATGGACGCGTTGTTTACATATGAGAATCGACGTGTATTTGTATGTCCGTATAAGAATGGATATGTACATTTAGCGTAAGTAATATATACGTAAACGCGTATTTATTACGCCTGTTCCACGCGGGGTAACGGTAATAGGCCACTTTTCTCAATCCACTCGAGCTATGCTTCTCAAACCAGAGCAGTAGTAAATAAAAGTTACGGCCACCATCTTGTGTTCCCCGAGTTACTACCTCTGGCTGTTGGCTCGTAATGTCCCGGCCTTTTTGTTTATTCCACTTGCCGATCTCTTTTTTAACGTCAGACAACGGGCCTGCTTCGTGACTTCGCTTTTATATGCTTCGCTCGGCATTCGATACCTAAGGTTCAACTCGAACGTAAACGATGGAAATACTACATTATACAGTACATATAATGTGTATTTATTGCCTGTTTAAAGTGAAACTGCTTGCAAACTGGATTCGCAGTTTTATACTTCTGGGCAACAACTATTTTTAGTTTTTTATTTTAAGAGGTACGAGTTTGTCATTGAATGATGGTTATGAAAAGTCCAGGTCAAGGGACATAAAGGAATAGCTTTGTGAAGGGTCTGTCTATTTTTTGGATTTTTAAAGAATAATTGTTTTACGGAAAATTTGTAGAAAAATGTATTTATTCTAAATAAATACATAAAACATACATTATAAAAAATACATAAAACAGTTCATGTAAACTTGCCATTACTATGAATTCATGAAATTACAAATCTATACGTACAAGTGAATTGATGTCCTAAAAATATAATTTTGCATTGAATAGTCCCAGTCTAATAGTAAATAATTTAGGCGCCGACGATTTTATGCCATCGGTAACTATCGCCGTCGGATTCTAGTTTAACTTCGAGCACCGTTTGCTAACCGTTTTCAAGTTTCGAGATACAGTTTCGCTCGTATCGTTTCAGGAAGCGGAAAGTGCCATCGGTGCCATGAATGGACAATGGCTCGGTAGCAGAAGTATCAGAACGAATTGGGCGACTCGCAAACCCCCTGCACCGAAATCCGAAGGTGAGTACCTCCACACGTATACACCTACTATCTATATATGCTATATATATCTACCTACTTGTCTTTTTCTGATCTGTATTGTACACAACAGTGGTGCATGATTGACGTTGTAATAAGGGAATCGCACAATCGACGATTTAGGGAAGATTAGGTTCCTTTTACTGATGCAGTTCTCCTTTATTCAGTGCAAGAATTTAGTTCATTGAGTAAACGTTAAAAGTAGGAGATTACATTTTTGGGGGATGAGATTTTTTAAATGATTTTAGCAACTTTCTAAAGATACATTCTAACTAGACTGCTTTATGTTTATGCAAATTTCAATTTTTATAAATAAAATTAAATAAACGAAAGGCATATAAACATTTGTTATCTTCAGTAAATATTAGGAACTATATTTTACCTTGGATATTTTGATTATTCACCTATTATTGTCTCTTTTAATTATTAGAGATTCCCATAAATGCATAAACATCTGCAGTTTAATTATAACTATCAATCACACTGTGCTAAAGATGTTGAGATACTTTTATTAAGGAAGAAAGAAAACAGGTAAAGGGTGTCAAATTTACATTTGACACAAATGGGAGAACGAAAACGGGTGGGAAAAATGAAATATCGTGGCAGCCCTTAACGAGCGCGGAATTTTTGTCGGCGTAGCCAGAATTCGATTAGGTTCCAGCCGGGCCAGGAAAAGCTTCCCCACCGCGTCGCTCAAGAAAACGGTTCCACTGCGAACGATTGCTACGCGAAAGATGGCAATGACGCTTCGGCCCGTTCGAGTGTTTGTTAATCGATACCGCGACACGGATTTCGAGGCTTGGTTTATTTTTTCCCTTTTTTGGGGAGGCCGAGTACGAAAGAAAGAGGCAGAGAGCGAGTATCACTATAGCCCTGGGGAACCTACGAAATCCTAAATGGAATAATCGTGTTTATTTTCATTTTTCCACGGTCGATTCCCACCGCCGTGTTTGACTTATAGAATGGCGCTACGATCTGGGATTTAAGCGAAATTATTTAAGAGGGTAGACTCAAATGGCGATAAGACCGGACGTCGATGTTATCCACTAAATTGGCTAAAAGTTAAGATATCCGAGTCTACGTCTTTATTTTTCAGGGACGTAAAATACGAAATTCGTTTTAATGTTTAGTTTAACATTCTAGGGTGCTCTAAAATTTATTTAACATGAACGCATGAATGAAACATAAAAAAGAATTATTGAT